AGCAAGTTAAAGACTTTGACATCTTTTGAACTGCCCTCTCAAGAGAGCCAGCCAGGATTGCCACCCCATCCCTAGCATAAAGGTCCCTTCTGCCGTAAAAGTTGTCCCAGTTGACAATGAATGAGACTGATACTGACTTGCAATATCTGTCAAAACGGCCGTTGACACCAACTGTCCTTGACAACCGCCTGGGAAGATATTGGAAGCATAATGTGTTTTTTAATGGTAGACCCTGCTGCCATATGGCATCACAAAATTATGACCAAGTCCCAGACTGCTGATCTGCCCTTCTGCCTCATTTACACACAATTGCAATGTCTCAATTGTCTCCCTTACTATTGACAACACAACATATATAACCTTTATCACTCTTGTTCTGTTCTGTTCTTTCTATTCTTTTATTCTCCTATGATATCACGAGACAATAATACTTAAGTGGGGCCTTCTCGGATGGGTCCCACTAGTCGGGAAGGTTGTGGACCCCAGGGCCGACCTCATCATCATCAAACTACTGGGACCTCAACTGACGTAATTGCGGTTGCTGGAGGATCGGCTTTATTCACACTTCACTTTTTCAACATTTGCGGCCTGACATCCAATTGCCTTTCTGTGAAGCACCATTTATTATCCTCTTCCCATGACCTCTTACTACTTTCCGAACTTCAACTGACCAAAGCAGCTTCACCCAAACCTTTTCAAGTATCCAACTACAACCTTTGTACCTCCTTCCGTTCTAAGGGAGGTGTATGCGCCGACTACAACACACGTACACACATAGCTCGACTCACGGATGTTTAATCTTCTCTTTATGATGTCATCTGACTCAAAATATCTCTACCAACTGTGACTATTTTTCTTTGTTTCCTATACTGTTCTCCCAACTCTACCAACTATTTGGAACTCTTTGACTATCTCACTTCTTGCCATGGTGTTGTTGCTATATACACACCCCAACACAAAAGATCCTCTACCTAGGAGATTTCAATGTACATCACAGAGAGTGGCTTGGCTCTGCAAGGGTTGACCCAGGTGGAGCTGAGTCACTCTCTATTTCCTTACTTAATGATTTGGAATGAATAATTAAACACCCTACACGTGTTCCTGATCGACACGATCAACTTACTAACATTCTTGATCTTTGTTTTACCTCTAACCCCTCACACTATTCGTACTCAATTACCGCCCACTTAGGGTCTTCTTATCACAATCGTATTTCTATTAAGTAAAACTGGGCACGACCACCTCCCCTTCCCCCCTCTAAACGCCAACTATGGCATTATCGGAGGGAAAACTGGCGAGAAATTTTCTCCGAGTTTCCTTGGGATTAACGTTGCTTTTCCACTCGGGACGCCTCGGTATGTGCTGACAGCATTGCTGGGGTTATACAGGGTGGTATGAGTACATTTATCCCATCTTCTACCAAAATTTTAACTTTACTGTACAATCAAGGTCTGATCGCTCCTGTTCTCTTGCATGTAGGGGGAGAGATAAAGTGTATCAAGCTATGGAACTATCTCCTTCTCCTATTACCTACTCCTCTTTCACTACTTCTAACAATGGTATAAGGCTATTCTTCGTAGGGCTAAGTAAAATTTTATAATAAGAAAGACTGCTGTCCTGACTAACTCTTCTTCTCATAAATTCTTCTGGTCCTTAACCAAAAACATCTGCAATAACTTCTGCAATCTCTCTTTTCCTCCTCTCTACCGACCTGATAACTTTATAACCAACTCTCCCCCTGATAAAGCAAGTTTCTTTGGCGCCTTATACTCCTCTAACTCTATCCCTCTTACTCCTGCTCCTCCTACTAAACCTATGCACTTTCCTATAATCTCCACTCGTAGGGTTGCTGGTGTGTTATTCAGGTACAATGTGAGTAAGGCGCATGGACCTGACGGAATACCCCCTCGTGTTCTGAGGGAGTGTGCTGAAATTCTAGCCCCTGTGCTTGCTCGCCTCTTTCGCCTTTGTCTCAAAACCCAAATTTTTCCTTCTTCTTGGAAACATGCCTTGGTTCAGCCCATCCTGAAGAAGGGTGACCATTCTAATCCCTCTAACTATTGCCCCATTGCCCTAACTTCATCCCTCTCTAAGATTTTCGAAACTCGTACACTCATTTTCTCCGTCACCTTGAACGCCATTCTCTTTTGTCGGATCACCAGTATGGCTTTCGCCAGGCAAGACCTACTGGTGATCTGCTCTCCTACAGCACCCATCTTTGGTCATCCTCTCTTAGAGATTATGGTGAAACTTTCGTCGTGGCCCTCGACATCTCCAGAGCATTTGACATGGTATGGAACAAGTCTTTGCTTTCTAAACTTCCTTCTTTTGGTTTCTCTCCCCCACTTTGTTTTCTAATTTCTAGCTTCCTTTAGAATCGATCCTTGGCAGCTGTTGTCGAGGGATCGATCTCTCGCTCTTTCTCTACCAATAGTGGTGTCCTACAGGGTTCTGTTCTTTCACCTACTCTCTTCCTTCTTTTTATCAATGATTTACTTCACACTACGACAAATTCTATTTATTCTTTCGCTGATGATTTACTCTTTACTCTTCTTCCCATTCTCCCCTCCTCCTTAAATCTCAACCTAGATCTGTTTCTAGGGCTGATATCATTTCATCTATCAATGCGGAGTTGTGCAGCACCTCCGAATGGGAAGGGAGAAACTTGGTTAAATTCAATAGTAATAAAACTCAGTATTTACCAGCCTCACTTTTCAAATTACCTTTCAGGACGCAATTTTCTGCCAAATTCTAAAATAGATATGTTAGGCCTCACCATTTCCTCTAATATGTCATGGAAGCCACTCATCCACAACATTACTAAAGCTGCCTCCCGAAAGCTGGGAATGCTGTACAGATGCCGTAGCTACTTCACTCCTGAGCAGTTGCTCCAAGTATATAAGGGATTCATTCGTCCTAACTTGGAGTACTGCTCTCATGTCTGGAGTGGCTCTTCTTCTGTCCAACTGTTAGATAGGGTGGAATCAAAGGCACTTCGTCTTATTAATTCTTCTCCTTTAGTTGATAAAATCTTTCTTCCCTTTCTCTTCGCCGGAATGTTGCTTCACTCTCTCTCTTACAGGTACTTTAACTGGCAATATTCGGTGGATTTTGCATCCTGTGTACCGCCGGCAAGGCCGTGGGCTCATAACACTCGTCTTGCCCGCGGTGCCCACCGTTTCTCTGTGGATATCGGTCTCACTAAAATAACCGGTTATAGTGCATCCTTCTTTCCTCACACAGCCAAACTGTGGAATGCTCTGCCTTCTTCCGTGTTTCTATACTCATACAATCGGTCTCACTTTAAAAAGCTAGTTTTCCGGCATCTTCGTGGTGTAGATTAATATAATCTCTTTTTTTTTCTTTTTACTCGTATTTGTTCGCCCCCAGGTCCCGTTGTGGGTCGATGACTTGTGCCCAGGTGGGCTATACCCAGTAAAAAAAAATGGTAATTATTTAATAGGAAAGTTGAATGCTAGGTTTTTTTTTCAGTTACAATGATTAATGTAATGTAAGTCATTGTTTCGTATAGAAGATTTAACGTATAAAGTATGAGAAAATTACAGATTTTTACAAAATTGAGCATCGGACTGTCAGAATATATATCTAATTAACGACACAGTTGCTACCGTAGCAAGTTAAGCCAAGGAACCAAATCATGGGAGCGAGAACCTTGAGGATGACGCCGGGTCAGGGCCATCTTTAGATACCACAAATGTGGCAACTGCAGCCACAATCGAGAGCTTAATTGTGGCGGACCGGCGAAGTTAAGTTTATGAAATCATCTTTGAGGCTTGCATTTTACATAGAACTGTCGTGATCATCATCCATGAATATTTTGAGAAGCCTAAAGTTTGGGCAAGATGTGTATCCTAAAAGCTCAGTATAAAACTTTAATCACTATCCTGGTCTAATGCGAAAACTGCACAGCGTCTTATGGGAGAAACGAAGAGGTATGCTGACTAAAGGGTTCTCCTGTTCAAAGACATGCGCTGGTCCACAAATCCTGAGTTACACAAGTGTTTATTCGTGAAAATGGTTCGAACAACTCAACCACACTCCGTACTACCCAGATTTGTCCCAAGTGCCAAATGACTATTGTCTGTTTCCAACTGCATCACTTTCAGGATGTTGAGGAACTGAAGGAGGTTACTGAGGCATGGTTAGAGAAACAGCCGGAAGGCCCTGGAAGCCTGGTATTGTGAGTTTAAGGGACAAGTGGAGTAAGTGTACCGAAGTCAGGGGCGACTAAGTTTGGAGGACAAGTGCAGTAAGTGTAATGAAGTCAGAGGAGACTAATTTTAAATACTAAATATGTTATTTATGGTTCTACTTTTCATAATATAACAAATTTGCAACACTAATGACCGTTCTTTGTTCCCACAGAGTTTTACATGACCTGTTAGTATCAAAGGTGACCTAAAATCATCCTCTTATACCTTGAAAACTTGTAAGATGCTTAGATTGTTTTACTGTCAATCTAAATGCCTGACAAGATCCATGTACTCTATATGTAATAACAACATTTTATATGCAGTGATCTCTTCGTACAAATACTAACAACATCAAAATATACACTAACATCACACATGCACTAACAACATCCAATAACATTGTTAAATATTAACAACACCCAACATACCCTAATAACACTAATATAAAACAATTTACCTGAAAATTACTACATTTTTCTCAGCTTCTTCGATCCACCTGACCTACATCTAACACTTATACCCCAGATAACTATTGTTGATTTGCAATGATCTAGGTTGAACTGAATTAACCTGTGTGGACCTGGGTTAACCTGTGTGAACCTGGATTGACCTGTGTTGACCTAGGTTAACTTGCGTGGACTTGGGTTAACCTGTGTTGACCTGGATTAAAATGTGTTGATCTTGGTTAACCTGCGTGGAGTTGGGTTGATCTAGGTTAACATATATTGTCGTGTGTTGAGTTGTAATAACTTGTGTTGATCTCTGATTTCCTCTGTCACCTTGCAGCACTTCATCATCGGGTGCGAGTCATTATGTCGTACACGGCGGCTGCCAGGCGACACGGGGGCGATATCGGCGTTTTCCACATCACACTCTTCGGCCAACACGGAGCATCACCCCGCCTTAAACTTAACCCAGAGTACGTGTGTGTGTGTGTGTGTGTGTGTATGTGTGTGTGAGGGCGTTCTTAGGCTTGTTTTTGGATACTGGTGTGGATATGTGGATGTGTGTGGCCGTGTATTTGGACATGGGGAGATGTGAGGGTGGATATAGGTGTAAGGGTGAGAGTGTATCTGGGTGTGGAAGTGAGGGTGTGTCTGGATGTGGGTGTGAGGATTAGGGTGTATCTGGGTGTGGGTGTGAGGGTGCATCTGGGTGTGAGGGAGAGGGTGTGGGAGAGGGTGTGGTGGGTGTTAGTGTGAGGATGTGTCTAGGTGTGGGTGTGAGGGTGAGAGTGTATCTGGGTGTAAGGGTGAGGGTGAGGGAGTGTTTGGGTGTGGGTGTGAGAGTGAGGGAGTGTCTGAGTGTGGGTGTGAAGGTGTGTCTGGGTGTGGGGGGTAAGTGTGTATCTGGGTGTGGGTGTGAGGGTGAGGGTGTGTCTGGGTGTGGGTGTGGGTGAGGGTGTGTCTGGGTGTGGGTGTAAGGGTGAGGGTGTGTCTGGGTGTGGGTGTGAGGAAGTGTCTGGGTGTGGGTGTGGGTGTGAGGGTGTGTCTGGGTGTGGTGTGAGGGTGAGTGTGTATCTGGTGGGTGTGAGGGTGTGTCTGGGTGTGGGTGTGACTTTGTGGCTAGGTGTGGGTGTGAAGGTGTGTCTGGGTGTGGGTGTGGGGTGAGTGTGTATCTGGGTGTGGGTGTGGGGGTGAGGGTGTGTCTGGGTGTGGGTGTGGGGTGAGGGTGTGTCTGGGTGTGGGTGTGGGGTGAGGGTGTGTCTGGGTGTGGGTGTGAGGAAGTGTCTGGGTGTGGGTGTGGGTGTGAGGGTGTGTCTGGGTGTGGGTGGGGTGAGGGTGTGTCTGGGTGTGGGTGGGGTGAGGGTGTGTCTGGGTGTGGGTGTGGGTGTGAGGGTGTGTCTGGGTGTGGGTGTGAAGGTGTGTCTGGGTGTGGGTGTGAGGGTGTGTCTGGGTGTGGGTGTGGGGGGTGTGTCTGGGTGTGGGTGTGAGGGTGTGTGTATCTGGGTGTGGGTGTGAGGGTGTGTATCTGGGTGTGGGTGTGAGGGTGAGGGAGTGTCTGGGTGTGGGTGTGGGTGTGAGGGTGTGTCTGGGTGTGGGTGTGAGGGTGAGTGTGTATCTGGGTGTGGGTGCGAGGGTGTGTCTGGGTTTGGGTGTGACTTTGTGGCTAGGTGTGGGTGTGAAGGTATGACTGGGTGTGGGTTTGAGGGTGTGTCTGGACGTGGGTGTGAGGGTGAGTGTTTATCTGGGTGTGGGTGTGGGTATGAGGGTGTGTCTAAGTATGAGGGTTTCTTGAGTGTGTCTTCTCACATAAGTTAGGTTAGGTTGGGTTATGTTAGGTTAGGTTAGGTTATGTTAGGTTATGTTAGGTTAGGTTAAAGTTGGCTGTGGTAGTTTGATCATTTAACATCTACCTGTGGCTATCATATATACTCTATACTTATTACGTATCTACCTATAACATGTCTACCTACCATAAATCTACCTACCATATCTCGCCCTATCATATCTACGTACCATAAATCTACCTACCATAAGTCTACCTACCATAAGTCTACCTACCATAAGTCTACCTACCATAAGTCTACCTACCATAAGTCTACCTACCATAAGTCTACCTACCATAAGTCTACCTACCATAAGTCTACCTACCATAAGTCTACCTACCGTAAGTCTACCTACCATAAGTCTACCTACCATAAGTCTACCTACCATAAGTCTACCTACCATAAGTCTACCTACCATAAGTCTACCTACCATAAGTCTACCTACCAAAGCTCATTCGTAACTTTTTCTATCAGTTTATATTTTTCAGGGGAGAAAAGATATTGTTCTTTCTGTTCCACTGAATATTTTTCTTCTTGCCCTAAAACAAACTTGGACTGGAGCGAGGGACGATTTTCTAGAGATCCTGGTCGATCCACACCACCTAGAGGGCTCTCTCTCCATTGTCCTAAGGAGCAAGTTACAATAAAGAGTTACTAAATATTGTCTGGGTAAAATAAACCTTAGAAGGAAGTGTAAATCTGAAACAGAAACTTAGACTTTAAGAATGGAAAGTATACGAATATTGCAGAGATGGATAAGGTGGAAAGGATGTAACTTTTTTGTGTTTAGGTGATAAAAACATTATGGTGATGTTGGCAAACTTGTAAACCAGAAGTTGGGATGTTGTGTGTAAGGATATTTGACATTGTCGGAGCTATGTCAGTCAAGAGTTATAGTAAACTCATAGGCATGACGGCCTGTTTGGGAAACTTTGTATACAACACACTGTATACTAAGTGACCGCACCGACAACAACGTGGTCAGTACTGAACTCAACCTCCTTTACCTCCCCAACTTGTAAAGCCTATTTGCTGATACAGTTAACTTACAGTTAAGCAAAGTGAGGTTAGGTTAGGTTAGGTAAGGTTAGGTTGAGTTTGGGTATATCATTATCTTTGTCTTAGTCTAGTTCCCCTACCAGAGAGATGTTCTTCGAGCCCGGTAACGTGTACTCGTACATGATCGGCACAGCAGACCTGGGCCACCTGCACTACGTGGTGCTCGAGTGGTCTTACGTCACCGCCTACTACAATCCCCTAAGCTGGCGGCTACTCTCCAACCCCGTAGTGTACGTCAACCGTATCCATATTGACTCCATCGAAATGCAGGAGAGGTAAGTGTTGTGGTGTGTGTTAGTGTGTTCTCTTTTCTATCACCTTATGCTGCGTGTGTGTGTAAATAATAATAATAATAATAATAATAATAATAATAATAATAATAATAATAATAAAAATAATAATAATAATAATAATAATATACACTTTCATGTGATTTAAACATAATAATATACATTCAATACATTTACAGGGCTGTACAGTAATAATAGTAATAAAAATAATAATAAACGGTTTATTGAAAAAGTTTGCAGCCCGAAGGCTGAAAATATACATTGGACATAAATGACTTATTACATACATTGGTGGTTTAACAAAAGCCTTCATTAGAGAAAGGTGAAGGAACATACAGTGAACATAATGGTTGTCAAGGGCAGTTGGTGTCAAAGACCGTCTTGACAGATATTGCAAGTCAATATCAGTCCCATTCATTGACAACTGGGACAACTTCTACGGCAGAAGGGACCTTTATGCTAGGGATGGGGTGCACCTGTCTAGGGATGGAGTAGCAACCATGGCTGGGGCTCTAGAGGGGGCAGTTCAAAAGATATCGAAGTTTTTAAACTGCTAGGAGAACATATGAGCACGGGGGTGGAGGAGAATGCAGTGGGAGCTGGTAAACAAAGTGAAAGATTACAGGGAAATAGTGTTAGGAATGATGACAAAACAAAATTAGACAGGGAGTTTAAAACTAAACGCGGTAAAGGGAGGATTCAGAACACGACTAACTTAAATGTATACTACGCGAACAGTAGAAGTATGAGAAACAAAATGGATGATATTAGGGCCTTGGTATGTACCGAAAAAATCGATATAATAGCATTCACTGAAACATGGATCAACCTAGACACACGTGAGTTACCAGTTGAATACCAAATTGCGGGTTACAAACTGTTCCATGCAGATAGGCAGACCAGGAAAGGAGGCGGAGTAGCAATCTATGTTAGGGATAATCTGAAGTGTGAAATAAATAAGGAAATAAAAACTGAGCAGAATACAGAAACAATTTAGATAGAATTAATCGACGGTAGGGAAAAATTAATCACAGGAGTAATATATAGACCTCCCAATCTTGATAGAGTCAATGAGAGACTTATCTGGGATGAAATGCTCATGGCTTACATACACAACAAAGTCTGTATAGTAGGCGACTTTAACCTTGGCCACAATAGATTGGACTGACCTTACAGGTAACTCAGAATCAGAGGATTTTCTCGAGACGATCCAGGACTGTTTTCTAAGTCAACATATAACCGAACCCACCCTGGGTAATAATATACTCGATTTAGTTCTGTCAAACAGAGAAAACCTCATTAGCAATGACGAGGTAGGGAACGAACTTGCAAACAGTGATCACAAAGAAATTAGATTCCAGTTAGATTTTCAGGGCAGACGTAAGGAAAATTCCACTAAAGTACCAGATTTCAGAAGGGCAAACTTTGACAGTTTAAAGAGGCAGCTGAGAGAGGGGGTGTCGTGCTTGGCCGTGAACCTCACAGATGACACGGACCTGATAACGAGATCTGAGATTGCTAAGTTCCACGACAATTTAAATAATGAGTTACTTTATGCACAAAGGCAGAGCATACCATACAAAAAACTCAGATCAGACAACAATGACTCTAAATGGATAAATAATTATTTAAAGAACATCATTGGCCAAAGGAAGGCTATAGGTAGAAGGATAAATCGTGGCGAAATTTACCTCCGGGATTATTATAGGGTATTGGCGAGTAGGGTTAAAATCGAGATAAGGAAAGCCAAGATGAATAATGAGGTAAGGATAGCAAGGGAGGCGAAGACAAACCCCAAAGGATTCTACCAAATGTATCAAACTAAAACACAAGAAAAGATTGGACCAATACGGTCAGACGCCGGCGAGCTCACTGATAACGAAAGAGAAATGAGCAATAATTTGAATAAACATTTTTCAACAGTTTTCACCACCGAAAATTTAAACATGATACCCGGGGCACCGACTCTATTCAGAGATAGTGAAGAAAACAAATTAAGCGAGATAGTAGTGACTAGTAACGATGTTAGTAAGCAAATAGACAAACTAAAGCCTAATATGTCACCTGGTCCCGATGAGATATTTGCCAGAGTATTAAAGGAATGTAAGGAAGCGCTTAGTATGCCCTTAGTAAAGTTGTTTAACATGTCCTTAAAACCAGGTGTAGTACCAGAATCCTGGAGGATAGCGAATGTAATACAGATTTTCAAGAAAGGGGATAGATCACTATCTTCTAACTACCGCCCAATCAGTCTAACATCAATAGTAGGCAAATTACTGGAAGCAATCATTTCAAACTCTATTCAAAATCACCTGGAGAAGCACAGATTGATCAATGATTTCCAGCATGGCTTCACAAGCGGACGTTCACGTCTAACTAATCTATTAACATTCTTTTCATCAGTTCTCGAATCGGTGGACGAGGGGCACAATTATGATGTGGTATATCTCGACTTTAGCAAAGCCTTCGACAGAGTCCCCCACGAAAGTCTAATTAGAAAGGCAGAAGCACATGGCATCGAAGGTAATATCCTTAAATGGATTAGGGCGTAGTTACAGGACAGGAAACAGCGAGTGAGCATTAATGGCACTAAGTCCCATTGGAGCAACGTCACTAGTGGAGTTCCCCAAGGCTCAGTACTTGGACCATTTTTATTTATTATATACATAAACGAAATAGATATCGGCATAGACAGCAACATAAGCAAATTTGCTGATGACACTAAAATAGGACGTGTTATTAAATATGACAAGGACTCAGCAAAACTACAGGAAGATCTAAACAAATTTTTCGAATGGTCTGAAAAATGGCAGATGAAATTCAACGTGGACAAATGTAAAGTACTCAGTATAGGAGATGTAAACAGGGAAACCAGATACCAGATGAACAAAGATGTTATAGAGAAATCCGACTGCGAGAGAGATTTAGGAGTAATGATAAGTAGGAACCTTAAGCCAAGTAAACAATGTGTTTTTGCTCGTAACAAGGCTAATAAAGTACTTGGGTTCATACAAAGGAGTGTTAGTTACAAGACTAGGGAGGTCATCCTAAAACTGTATCTTGCTCTTGTGAGACCACACCTGGATTACGCAGTTCAGTTCTGGTCACCGTATTACAGAATGGATATAGAATCCTTGGAAAGAATTCAAAGGAGAATGACAAGACTAATCCCGGGCATTAGGAACCTTGAATACAGAGACAGGTTAAAGCATCTTAATTTGCACTCCCTCGAGAGACGTAGAGTGAGGGGCGACCTGATAGAGGTGCATAAGTGGAAGGCAGGGCTAAACAAAGGGGACATTACAAAGGTACTCAAACTATCCAACCAGGAGCGAACTCGTAACAATGGTTTTAAATTAGACAAATTTAGATTTAGGCGTGAAATAGGTAAACACTGGTTTGGAAACAGAGTAGTGGATGAATGGAACAAGTTACCAAGTATCATCATTATCTCGAATACGCTGAATAGCTTCAAACATAGGTTGGATGCTTATATGAGCAATAGGGGTTGGGTGTAAACGGGACTGCCCAGTATGGGCCAATAGGCCCGCTGCAGTTTCCTCCATTCTTATGTTCTTATGTAATGTTTACACACGTAGATCATGTGAGCTGAGGTGTTGAACAGCAGACACGTAGTGTAGTAACTCCCTCACAGATGGCGTTATGAGGGGCATCACGTAGAGTGCTAGTTCCCTCACAGGTGGTGTTATGAGGGGCTTGACGTGGTGTAGTAATTCCCTCACAGATGGTGTTATGAGGGGCCTGATGTAGTAATTTCCTCACAGATGGTGTTATGAGGGGCCTGATGTGGTGTAGTAATTCCCTCACAGATGGTGTATTAGGGGCCTGATGTGGTGTAGTAATTCCCTCACAGATGGTGTTATGAGGGGCATCACATGGCGTAGTAATTCCCTCACAGATGGTGTTATGAGGAACCTCACCTGATGCTGTAGCAACTCATTCCCTACGTGGTGTCGTAGCATCATGGGGACACCACGTGGTCAGTTGTCACAGGACTTCACTCACTCAAGTGGGTGAGGTGTGGTCCCAGGCTTTTCTATCGTGGAGTCTTAGGGGAATTATCACTGGGTACCTGGGACCTCACTGTGTGAAGGTTAGCTTGGGTAAGACTCAACTGCCGAGTTGTTTTTCACTGACTTAAGCACTGTTCACCACTATTCAACACTGGTTCCATTCCTTTCCCAAATGAAATAGTAACTTCTGGCGAGAACTTGTTGATATTCCGGTGGGGAAGAGGGTTCAGGGGAGGGAGTTGGTAAGGGCCAACATAACAGTTGACGTGGCTGCTCCTGAGCAGCGCCAGGTGCGTCTGACCCGTCTTGACCCGTCGGTGGTCGGTGGTCAAGTGTGTGTGTGTGTGTGTGTGTGTGTGTGTGTGTGTGTGTGTGTGTGTGTGTGTGTGTGTGTGTGTGTGTGTGTGTGTGTGTGTGTGTGTGTGTGTGTGTGTGTGTGTGTGTGTGTGTGTGTGTGTGTGTGTGTGTGTGTGTGTGTGTGTGTGTGTGATAATGATAATGGTCTTAACTCAGTACAATACCAGGTGTGAGAATAGGACAAGATATGTGAAGTCTGGGGATAATGTACCGTGTTGTGGTGTGTGTGTGCTATAAAGGCCTTCTCTTATAAGTGTTAGTTAATAAGCTAGTTGAAAAGTAAACGGTAAGAGACAATATTTCGAGAATATGGATAAAGGTGTTTCTTAATGCAATCCACCAACATGTGTGGTAATCTCTGCGGCTAGTCCGCAAGGAGTGGTCCAGAATGTAATGTTGGGATGGGTTTTAATGAACTACGGCGAGTATCAGTGAGATGTAGTGTCTCTTGATATGTTATGGTTGGGAATAATATGAAATGTGAGTATAGATCAGTGGTAGTGTGTTGTGGCCAGGCTATTATCCTCTTGTTGTGGCCAGGTTAGTGTGTTGTGATCAGGTTATTATCTTCATGTTCTGGCCAAATTAGTGTGT